CCTCTCTCTCTCCTCTACCCCTATGATATATATCCTATATTCTATACCCCATACCCCCTGCTTGCTAGACGCATCTACTTATTCCATAGGTACATCTAATTTTTGCAGGCCAAAGAGCCCAGTACTCAACTGTATGCTTTTTGCCTTGTGTTCTCTCTTGTGAGAATGAAGATATTATCCATCCGATTACTCAATTTTGGATGGGTGTCATGTTTGACTTATTGTTCCCTCTCATTCATCACCTCTAACTGATCACCAGTTCTTATTGATTCTGTTTCCTAAATAGATTATAAATCTGGTCACTTACTTTGTGTCCTTACTGTTACCACCAAGGTTTAAGCCGCCATTTATTCTCACCCTAATTATGGCAATGACCTCTAATGTGTCTTCTCTTCTGGTGCCACACCTGTCCACTCCACTCTACTCACTGCAGCCACGTAAGCTTCCTAATAGGGCAGTGGCTCCTCTTGGGGTAAATTCAGAAGTCTTTACCATGATTTGTATGGTTTTTCATGATATTGACTCTCTGTGTCTAACTCTCTGGCTTGTCCTTCCTCCCACCCAGCATGTAGTCTTTTGTCCCAGCTTTGTTGATGCATAGTTGACACTTTAAGATTGTATATATTTAAGGTGTACAACTTGACAGACATATGTATTGTGCAATATTTGGTACAATAAAGCTACTTAACATATTCATCTCCTCACACAATTACTCTTTTTTTATGGTAAAAATACTTAATAGCTACCCTTTTAGGAAATTTCAAGTATACAATACAATATTGTTAGCTGTAGTCACATCGTTGTACATTAGCTCTCCAGAACTTAATCATCTTGCATAACTGAAATTTCGTATCCCTTCACCAACATCTCCCAGTTCCCCCTCCCCCCAGCACCTAGTAACTATGATTCGTTATACTCTGGTATTCTTTGACCAAGTTTACTGAGTTTTCTTTTCAACTCCCCAACCGTATCATTTTTTGCCTCCTAGCTTTGTGGTTAGCATTTCCTCTACTGGGAATACTCTTCCCCTTTACAGATCTTTCCCCATTAACCTTTGTTTTTCATTTGTATTTCAGCTGAAATGTCACTTATTCTGGAAAGCCTTCCCTATATACCTACCTACATCAGGGTTTGTTTCTTTTCTGCATGGTTTCACATCATCCTAGGTCTCCTAGAATTACCCTTATAAACAGTCTTTAGCTGTTCATTTGCTATATCCTCCATCATAAGTACAAAATCCTTAAGGGCTTGCCTGTCTATGTTCTTAGCACAGAACAGTGTTGGATCATAGTAGGATCTGAGTAAAAATTTGATGAGACAGTGGGTGAAAGTGCTATACTAATAATTTGCAAATCCATGTTAAAAACTCAAGTTTTCGGGACGCCTGGGTGGCTCAGCGGGTTAAGCCGCTGCCTTCGGCTCAGGTCATGATCTCAGAGTCCTGGGATCGAGCCCCGCATCGGGCTCTCTGCTCGGCGGGGAGCCTGCTTCCTCCTCTCTCTCTGCCTGCCTCTCTGCCTGCTTGTGATCTCTCTCTGTCAAATAAATAAATAAAATCTTAAAAAAAAAAAAAAAAAAACTCAAGTTTTCTTTGTTCTAAGACTTCTAAGCAGGACACCTGGGCGGCTCAGCTTAAGCGTCTGCCTTCGGCTCAGGTCATGATTCCAGCGTCCTGGGATGGAGTCCTGCATCTGGCTCCTTGCTCAGCAGGGAGCCTGCTTCTCCCTCTGCCTCTGCCTGCCACTCTATCTGCCTGTGCTCACTCTGAGAAATAAATAAATAAAATCTTAAAAAAAAAAAAAGATAAAAAGACTGTTCTAAGCAACTGCAATCTGCTACCTCCATCTCAAAAATTAATGGAATATAGAGTATAAGATCAGAATACTTTAAAAATAAAGCAAAGGAGGGGCCAGCTATGCTCAGGACAAACTCAGGCGAAGCATGTAATTCAGATATGAAAAACTGAAAAACGTGTATCATTTGTTGGTAAAGATGAAGATTTATTATAGGAGGGCCTGTGGGTGGGGGAATGGGGTAAATGGGTGATGGGCATTGAGGAGGGCACTTGTTGTAATGAGCACTGGGTGTTATATGCAAGGGATGAATCACTAAATTCTCCACCTGAAACTAATACTACACTATATGTTAACTAAATTGAGTTTAAAGTTAAATTTAAATAAAATTTAAGTAAAATCTTGAAAGAAAAAAAGATTTATTGTCATAGTATATCAGATCTCACAAGATTTGGCTAATCTGTAAGGCAGTATAAATCAAGGTTTAATTATGTTCCATTTCAAAAGAAAAGATCAGTTGAAAAATTGAAGTTGAAAAAATATTTTAATAAAAAAAATTGAGATTGATTTGTTAATGTAGAACCACACTAGAAAGGAGTATTTTGTCTCCTTTTCCTTAAAAACAAAAAACTGTGATACTTTTGTTTAACATTAAGGAATTAGTCTAGAAATATTCCAAAGTAACTCATTTTATCTGCTTATTTAAAAGTATGGTATCCTGAATTAAAGACTTCTAGGAGTCTTGGATGTGGTAGAAACAGACTTTCAAAATGTAGTTTCCATCCTTCAAGTCAGGACTAAAATTGAATGCCTCCTTTATCTTTTTATATTTTTTCTAATAAGAATTATAAAGAAAAAAGGCTTTTAGATCCATAGAATGATCAGAGCATTTGTTGTTCAGTGCTTTTATTTGACAGTATTTACATTACCACTCAAGCTTACTTACTTACGGGGATTATAAAGCAGTATACAGAGGCTCATGCTGTCCATAGGGTGCACAGGCAGGTTAAGTTCTATAATAGCCCAGTTCAGTTTACCTGAGAACCATTAAATATTCACCAAAGGAAACCTGTTCCACCATGGATATGTATGTATTACATCTGTTACAAATTTCCGTAGTAGAGTTTCTTCCTCTACATTATGAGTTGATTTCTATCTTCTTCTATCTTCTATCTTCTTTCCTTTCTCTCTCCCTCTTCCTTTCTCTCTCTTTACTTCCTCCCTTCCTTTCCTTTTTCCTTTCTTCTCCCTCCCTCCCTCCCACCCCCTCCCTTCCCTCTTCTCTTCCTCCCTCTCTCCCTCTCTTCTTCCTTCCCCTTCCTTCCTTCCTTCCTTCCTTCCTTCCTTCCTTCCTCTCTTTCTTTCTCCTATACCTAGTTGTGGTTTGTGTCCAGTTACCCAACCTTGTGATATATTATTTTGTCAAAGTAAGGAGATACACAGTAGTGATAACTATAATATGTCCAGTCTGGAATATACCTCAGGTTACACTGAGCCAAAGTTAGACATAGTTATTTGAGATATGACACTAAAATATCCCATCTAAAAGCAGAAATACAAAATCAGACAATTGATGAGCCTGGTGGATTCAGTTTCATTTTGCAATGGGTTGCTGTGGTCTTTGAATGGCTGAGCTAGACTGGGGTAGGTCTATCCAGAGGACCTCTGGGAGTGAGGATCTCATTCAGTGCACAATCTAGATCAGGTTTGTTGTGACCTCTAATGCTAAGTCTGCTCAGTTAGCTATTGGCAAGAATTAACTAAAAGATTGCTTTAATACACCTATTAAGTTAAAAGTATAATTATATGGAATTTAAAAACTCTCAAGGGTCTTTATGTTTATATTTTGCAAATAAGGATTTCTGAAAATGTTACAACCTTTAAATCCCTATCTGAAAAAGCAGCTCATTCAGTGATTAGGCTTATTGTGTCCTTTACGGTAAGTGTTAGTGTGAGGAGGACTCTCACAGGTCATTAAAAATCTTGATTTCTTGACTGCCCCTCCCTTCCATGCCCTCTACGAGATTTAGATGCTCTGGTAGGGCCCAGAAATTTGTATTTTAACTTAATTCCAGGGGGTCTGTGGGCCATCTTTTGAGGAAAAAAAAAAAAAAAGACCCACATGGGTCTTGAAGATCCAATCCTATTAAATCTTATCACCTTTTTCTCAAAGACAAATTCTACTTTGTTGAGTGTGGTGTTGGTAGGACCACTCGTAGGAGTTTTGTGACCCTAAATTCCTTCCTCCTCTTTGTAAATGGAGAGGAACATTCCACCACTTAAATCATTTGGCAACTTACCTGAGGTAACTGGCAAACCAGTTTCCTGCATAGAAAGAAGGATGTTTTCTTTTTCCTTCCTATCTATTCACTCCCTTAAATTTTCTGCTTCTGTATCTTGTAGAGATCTTTTACTTTAATCTGTTACTGTGTTTCTTCAATCTCTACTTATCCACATTTGCCTGTTGCAGAATGTCAGATGCAAAAGTTACTAAAACTCTTCATGCCCCCAAATGAAAGGATCTTTGATTGCCCTAACTCCCATATATTCCAAAGTATATCTCTTATTGCCCTTACTGTGTGTTACTGTGTAACACACTTACACTTACATCTACACATCTTATCTCTTTTTATTAGACTCCCTAATTGTCATTCACTTTTGTATTCCACAATAAGTAGAATGTGCTTGTCTTTAAAAACTGTTCTTTTGTTTAAATAGTAGGGAATGAATACCATTTGTTGGATTGTAATAACGATTCTAAAATCTACACGTTAGCATTCATTTAATCAATATGCATTATTAAACATCTAGTATTTATTCTGTAACCTGCTAGGTCCTGTATATCAAGACAAAATGTCTAAATAATTGACTCTGTCTTAGGCTATTATTTGGTTGGGTGGATAACTTTTTGACATGTTAAATTGTTTGTTAAATGTTTGCCCTAGAAATAAATGATCCCAAACATACTTAAAACCATGTAGACCTATTTCATCAGGGAGTATACATCTGAAGACTATGTACTATAGAGAGATATTAAATTATTTTTCTTTTTTGCACTTTGAATTATTTGTTCTTTTAAAATAAATGTGTTTACATACACAAATAAACCTGCATAAGCATTGGGACAAAGGTTTTAAAATTAAAAGATGTAACAATATACAGAGGTGAAATGATTTGCTTCTATTCTTTCTGTTCCTACCATTTCAGATGATGGAAAATTGTCCTTTGAAGAATTCAAAGCATATTTTGCAGATGGTGTTCTGAGTGGAGAAGAATTACATGAGCTCTTCCATACCATTGATACACATAATACCAAGTAAGGAACTTTTTTATCATTGGATTCTGCAAACGATGTAGAGAAGGTGTGACCAAGCACATACTGATGAAGGGGAGAAGGAGGAAATATGCAGAGGGCACCTTTTGTAATGTTTAATTCCTTATGGTTAGTTTTGAGATTCCCCCCTTTAGTAATTGAAATTCTCTGAAAAACCGAGCACTGAATTGTGAAACAGTGATCTTCTGTAGGGAGCCCTCTTTTTTAAAAAATATTTTATTTATTTATTTGAGAGAGAGACAGTGAGAGAGAGCATGAGGGAGAAGGTCGGAGGGAGAAGCAGGCTCTCTGTGGAGCTGGGAGCCTGTTGCGGGACTCGATGTGGGACTCGATGTGGGACTCGATCCCAGGACTCAGGGATCATGACCTGAGCTGAAGGCAGTCACTTAACCAACTGAGCCACCCAGGCGCCCTGTAGGGAGCCCTCTTAAGGTTACTTTAGAGTGTGCAAAATGTAAAACAAAAGCAAAGATTATAAATAATAAATTATAAATAATTCTAATTCTATCAATATTAAGAAAATAGAATTTTACCTTCTTTCTTAGGTTTTATCTCTGTTTGCTTCATCTAAAAATTGTCCTTAGGCCATTCTTATATTAGTGCAATGAAATGCAGAGCTGCAGTGATTATCTGGACAAATCACTGTTCCCTGGGGTATGCAAGTAATTTGGGACACAGAATTCTTTTCTGAATAATGAATGAGTACAGTGATCTATTTTATTTATTTTACGTATATAGGTCTTTCCTTTGCATCAGCTGAGTATTGATAAAGTTTCTATTTCTATTCTTACTATACTTAAAAATATAAAATAATGAGGAATTTAGGATATAGAACAAGAGAAATGTGCTGTTCGATTTGGGTAATTGAATCAAATCACATTTGTGACAGTCATGATTACAGAATTCTAATGTGGAAAATGCATCATTTCAGTCTTGCTGTGAGATCCATCAGCGTGTCTGCTACTTGAACAATCACTGTCTTGCTTTAGGCAAAGTGTTGACATGGTTCCAGGCAGTGAGCCAGCCTGCCAAGAAAAATGCTCTTGGGCTACCTCTAAGCATAAACTCTTTTTGTGACAAACTAGTAAGAAAAATTAAAAGATTAAATTCACTTAACTCAAGCAGCTGCAAATTTGTTAAATAATCAGTTTGTAAATTTCTTGACTTCTGTTAGAATTTCAAATTCCCTATGAAACCGCTTATGTTTTTTGTTGTCAGAAATAGTGTGAGCTGTTAACAAATCTAAGTCCCTCCTGGGTATTGGTGGTACAGCATGGAACCAGCTTATAATTTTTGGAACAGCAGACCCACTCACTGATCACTTCTATATAATATCATAGGTACTGTGACTGAGGTATGTAGGACTTTGGGATAGTATGTAGAGGTATAATATGTAGAGGTATTGTGACTGATGTATGTAGAAGACTTTGGGATAACACAGTGGGGCAGGGAATTTTAGCCTACTTTGGCAGGCTCCAGGAATGTTCTGAGGATTAGGAAGCCAGGAGCTGAGTCTTTATGGGAGAGCAGAATCTGATTAGATAAAGAAGGGGATGAGAGGATATATACTCCAACTAGAGGAAAAATGCATAAGGAAAGACCTGGAAGTATAAGCTGGACGGGAGTGACAAGTATTTTCGCGTCACCAAAATGTCAGTTTGTAAGGCTGAGTGCAGGAGGAGAAAAATCTGGGAAGGGAAGAATGGGCCAGACAAGAAGGAACTGGCATTCTGAGAAGCAAAAGTGTTTCAAATTTAAACTGCAGGCCAGGAGACGCTCTTAAAGCTCTTAAACCAGGGAGAAATAACTTTGTAGGTCATTGTGGCGCCACTGAGGGGCAGTGCTAATGGGGTAAATGTGGAGAAAGACCACAGATGCTAGCTGAATTCTTAAATGACTGCTGGGGAATAATGTTTATGCATGGAAGAAAGGAAGCCATGTGAACCATTCCGAGAAATGGTATCTAAGTGAAAAAGCGGAGGTTCCCTTTGTGGCTCAGGTGTTGGAAGTTGAGATGCTAATACTTCATTATGTATGCTGATTATTTCTTCTTCATTACATTTATTACTAGAGTTTTAACAATATCCAGGTTTGGAACAATCATTGAAAGTCATAGTTGCAAAATTCCGTGTCACAGAGATTTTTCAAAACATATTGACTCCTGGGGTGCCTGGGTGGCTCAGTTGTTAAGCGCCTGCCTTTGGCTCAGATCATGATCCCAGGGTCTTGGGATGGAGCCCCGCATCAGGCTCCCTGCTCAGTGGGGAGCCTGCTTCTCCCTCTCCCACTCCCACTGCTTGTGTTCCCTCTCCCACTGTATCTCTCTCTGTCAAATAAATAACATCTTAAACACACACACACACACACACACACATTTGCTCCTATTAGTGAAAAACAAAGTTTTCAATAGACCTTGTTGGACTGGTTTTGCTATTTTATTTATACATTTATTAGTTGAAATTACTTGGCATAACATTAAGATTACATTAAGTGCTAAAGAAGTCTATGCAATGATTTATACAGTAAGTCCAAAAGAGTGATGATTTATTTTTTATTATTATTTTTTTTTAAGAGTGATGATTTCTACCAGTTACTCTCACATATGCATTAGTAAAAGCACTTAAGTGTTTTCTGGTAACTTTTCTGATACTGGTATTCAACTTAATTTGGAGCTAATGTAGACATTTCTGAATTTTTTTTTTTTTTAAGAAAGTATGTCAGTGTCAGCTTTAATCTTTTAGGGAGATTAATTCAAACACTGACGTAGAAATTTCAGAGCTATACTTCAAGCAAATGGTAACTTTTGTCTTTGTATGATCCAAGTTTTAATTATTCTAGTGACTGTACTATACATGCCATATAATTTTTCCCCTCCCACATAACTTCTAAGAAAATATGTTCTCATGTGCTGAGCATTGCCAGCCATTCAAATTTGCTCAAGGGTACATCCTGGCCTGAAGGAGCCAAGTTATACATAGGCTAGAGCTCATCCTGCGGACTCATTGTCTCACATTTATGGTGACCCAAGAGATTCAAATTCCATGAATGTCTGCTGCTGAGGCCCTTGGGGATGCCTGGTTCCTGCCCCTCCTGATATCTGGTGGTTTAACGTCCTCTTGGAGTCCATTAAATCACTATCCACTTAATGCACTGCATTTTCTTAAGCTTATATGCAAAAGTGTATTCTAAGTATTATCTCAGCTCCTTTCTGTCATCTATAGAAATTTGTCTTTTTGCTATAAATATTAGATTTGCTGTGTTTGAGAAGTGACATATCCACTCTGAAAATATTTAGAAAGAAGGAAAATATTGAGAACCTATCTTGCTAGCTAAATTCTCCCCTTTTTTCCCATGAAGAGTATCCTGGAAATATTATGCTCAATCATGGAAAGCAAATATTATTTAAAAGTATAAATAATTAAGTTATTTTAAATACCAAAATTAAGTAAATTGTTCCTTATAAAAGGATATCAAAAAAGCCATCAGGTAAACCTACAGATTTTCAGAAACCATGTTTTTATAGGAAGCTTTTAAATGAACAAACTTTAACATAGAGTGATGCAATAATTAAAACAAAATTTTAAGTTAAAAACATATATATTGCCCTGTCCACACACATTTAGGTAGAAGTTTTATTTTATTTTTAGTTTTTTTAAGATTTTATTTATTTATTTGCCAGACAGAGATCACAAGTAGGCAGAGAGGTAGGCAGAGAGAGTGGGGGGGGGGAAGCAGGCTCCCCGCTGAGCAGAGAGCCCTACTCTCTCTCGGGGCTTGATCCCAGGACACTGGGATCATGACCTGAGCCAAAGGCAGAGGTTTTAACCCACTGAGCTACCGAGGCTCCCCTAGGTAGCAGTTTTAATTTCCAAATCCAATTCTCTAGGTTTTTTCCCTTTCCTTTTGTTCATATGTTTCTTTTCTTTTCTTTTTTATTTCATTTATTTATTTATTTAAATTTTATTTATTTATTTGCCAGAGATCACAAGTAGGTGGGGAGTGGGGGAAGGCTCCCCACTGAGCAGAGAGCCCGATGCGGGTCTCCATCCTGGACCCCAGGATCATGATAGGAGCCGAAGGCAGAGGCTTCAACCCGCTGAGCCACCCAGGCGCCCTTTATTTTATTTCAAAAAATCAACATGTTCATTTAAGAAATTATGTTTAGAAGATTCGACTGCAGCTTTTAGTATGCCCTGGAACCACTTGAATCTTTTCAGTCAGATTTCCTTTCCTGGATGCAAGTAAACTATCACCAACAAATAAAAGAATAGAATAGACCCGAAGACATGCATCTTCATAAGAACTTACACATTTGAGACACTGCAAAGATTTCTATACATGAATACTACCAAGATAGGAAGTATTTATAGGTCTGAATCATAGAGAATTTTTTCTAGTGTATTTCAAAATGAAACCATCAACCACACGTCCCTCCATATTAAGGGAGGTGTCGAGGGAGTTGTGGTCACCCTTCCAGCCTGCAGGATTCAAGCTTAAGCTCAAGATTTGGTATAATATCCTTCTAATGAGAATTCCATGAATCATCCTAATTTTTGACTAGAATTTTAAGATAATGTTTTGTCAGAAATTATATTCAGGCCTAATGTAGATGGCCTGCAGATTTCACTCAGAGCAAGGACTAGAAATAAAAACAACTTGAATGAAAGTAGGAGAAATCTGAAGGCATCAGAAGTCTAAATTTTCATCCTCTATATTCAGAAATTAATTTTAAATTTGGTAGATCTTTTCCATTATGTTTGTACATTCAGGACTTTTCAGGAGTTTTTTTCTTCAGTGGTGTAGTTGGTTGAGTGTGGGACAAAAGGCCAACTTGTTCCTGTGGAGGATACTTGGGTTATACAACATAACAAAGAAAAAGAAGGTCAAAATACAAGTTTCTGTCAACAGGGCAAAATATTGTTGAAATTTTTAACTTTCTCAAACTTTAAAGGAAGTGTACATAACCTAATAGTCCACAACAT